GAGCCGGAGCGCCCGCGTCTGCCCGGGGGGTGCGAGGGGGCACCCGCACGGCCGGGGAGGGGATGGGGAGAGCGGGGTGCGTGTGTGCGTTAGAGGGGTTGGGGACTAGTTTTGAGGGGGCGTTTAGGCGTTTCCAAGTGTTTATGAACATTTCGTGTCTAGTACTGTGGTTTACTTTTTTGTATCACTGGTATTGAACCTCCACGGCTGCTGATTATGTGTCATTAATAAATTAATAAGCCCTTTTGATACTGATTTGCTTTAAACTATGTGAGCTGAGTAGTTTTCCCTGCAAAAAGAGGTTGTTCTGATTCTCAAGGCCTAAATGCATGAGCTAGTCTATACACTTAACATGGAAATGTTTTAGACTTTATGTTCTGTAAAATACTCTTGGTGCGTTCTAAATTCGTGTGGATATAGCCAATACCCAGAGCAAGGACTCCATATATTTGTGATATTACCAATAGCTGCATTCTGAGATAGCAACCAAGCAAACACTAAGAGTAATTCACAGAGGAGAGAAATATTTTTTTTTAAAGATTAATTCAAATTATATTTCCAGGAAACCTCCCGCCTGAGGTAGTAGAGGCAATCTGGTACATATTTTTGAGTTTAACTGACTATTCAGTCTTTCAGTGATCCTTGATATTGGTGAAACATTGATAGAAATAGCCATTTCGATCTGTGAATTGCAAAATATATGCATGCAAATGGGTGAGGTTTGGTGTTAACATTTTACCGAGCTTTTTCTGTAAAGCCTGCAGCTGGATGCATGCCCTCACTCAGGAAGGATGAGGCTATTATCTGTTACATAGGAGATGTTAGCCTTGAAAACAGATATGATCCAGTTCTCAGTAGAGCAGTACCTATGGACCCGAAGCACAATAGGACCTGAAGCACAATCCAGATTTCCGTATATTATGTGCTATAAAAACTTAGTGGATTTGCTTGAAAAAATTGTAGCTATGAAAATTGTTTGGGAGTCATTCCTCCAGCAATATATATATTGCCTAATGAACAGTGCAAATTCCTATATAGACATTTGGGAGCTAAAGTGTTTTTTATAATGAAAATCTTAATATGAATTTCAGATTGAGCTTCCACTGAAAGAAATCGGTGTTCATTATATTGCTAGAGCTTACCAACAATTGTACTGGGACCGAGGACACAAGTTGTTTCATGTCAAAATATTGGAAAGGATTTTATTAAAAGACTTTAAATTGCACTTCTATTTCTTGCCACGATCCAGTGGCATTGGGGAATATATTCTTAAGTAGTTCCAGACAGAGGACATCAGGGGCATAGGGAGGCTGAATCACACGTTCAGGTGAGCATAAAGAGCTGCAACTGCCACTGGGTATAAATGCCACTTTTAAGCTCCTTGGACCCAAAATTAATTTGGAGCATCATAAGCTTCTTGTACGCTTATCTTCCTAAGTATTTCTCCTGTAATTCTCTGTTTGTTGGACTCATGACTATTGAAGATACATTGTGTGTATTGGTGTCACACATCAACGGAGAGGAAGACATGATCTGTGTCCCTGTATGTGGAACTTATTCTGTCCTTGAATCCTAGGACACTTATGTACAAATTGAGGTGGTGAAGCTTTCTTATAGTCTAGCTCAGGATTGCTGAGATGATCTCTGAAGGAACTGAGGACCATTTTCTGTGGACTCTGAGCCTTACAGTCTGAGCAAAAGATAGATAGATTGGGGGCTCTTACCTTGTTTAGCATTACTATATGGCACCATGCAAGTGAGTGCATCTCTGTATATGTATTTTATAAAAAGTATCCCAAACTAACACTCCACCCTACAATTCTCCCTACAGGGGGAGAGCGAGAGAGTAATGAAATATTAGATATTAGTCATATTGCTTAATATTCTATGAGAAGGAACCCAGATACTACAGATATGAATTCGAAAGAAGTAGTATTATAATCCAGAAAGAAGTCTACAGGAATTAAAGCCCCTTTTGTCCCTGCCTTGAAGAAAAATTGCTCCCTACAGCTCCTCTGCATCTACTTTAATGCAGTCAGAGCTCCGTTGTTCAAAGACTACTTGCTGTGTGTGACCTTGAGGAAATTTTGCAGAACCAGCTTACCAGAGACGCAAGCATTAAGAAGAGCTGCAAAGTATGCAACACACCACCTTTCAGTTAGGGACCTTCCTGACTAGACTTCCTTTCCCTTGTCGTAATAGGGTGTTCCAGTCTTTTCCTTCTGCTTATTGTCTCCTTCCCTATGATTTCCCAATCTTTACTTCATGCAACACCTGTCCTTCTTACGTTCCTAGTTCCTGCCCCTAACTATGCCCCTACCATTGCAAGTATCACAGAGTTTCACAATTGCTGCCATTATGTTGACCCCTCTACCTATTTATTATAGCTTTTCTGTCTCCACTGTGTGTCTCATGTCTGTTTACAATGGAAGCAGTCCAGGATAAGGAGTGTCTGCTCAGGTTTGTACAGAGTCTAACACAATGGATTCCAGTCGTAGGTCACTTCTAGGCTACCGTAATGATTAGTTAGGATAGTAAGTCTTGGGTTGTTAGCCTCCCCACCCCCACCCCCCACCCCCTATTTCCTTGACTGTAAGAAGCATGGAATTAATTAGAAAAGTAACTAACTTCTTTTATGTTCTTTCGATCTACAACAGCGCTGTCTTTTGTTTTATTGTTGTTTTTTAAGTTCTATTTTTATTATGAAATTTGTTGGCACAGCAGGTGTTGTAAATAATTCTGTAAATTGCCTAGGGCTGTCTACATCATAACCTATGGCTGCATTATCAGATGATGAAAATAGACAACTCAAATGAGAAAGTGTTTAGAGATAAGTGAAATGTGAATTCTCCTGCCAATTGTTTTTGGTTGTTGTTTTTTTTTTTTCTTTTCTGTTCCATAGCACGAATTATCAAAACAAAACAGTGGTGTGAAATGCTTCCATGTTTAGAAGGAGAAGGCTGTGATTTGCTAATCAATAAATCAGGCTGGACCTGTACGCAACCAGGAGGACGGATAAAGACAACCACGGTAGGTCACTTCTCTGTTCTATATTTCTTCAGTTTCTCATTCACTTTAGGTTATTGAAAAACAGAGTGAGATTTCTAATTGGTTTTCAGCACAGATATGTAAAGTCTGTTGCCTTATAACTAAGCTATGTGCCCAAGTGTGCTTACTGAAATACACAGCAATGTTATCACAAAGCAGGAAAAATGTATAATTCCCACAGTTACTAAGAGTGGAAATTATATCAAGGTTTTCTTAAAAGGCCCCAGTGGTTTAACTAACATTTGTATTCAGCCTGAAGACAGGATCTTACTGCTTCACTGTACAAGAATTTTCTTACGCTGAGGAAGTGTAGGGTATAAAACTGAACACATGGTCTAGCAGGGTGAAAACAAAGCTCTCATTGGAAATTGGGAAGAAAATATTTTTTGCTACTCTCACTTTACTGGAAAAGCAAGTTGCACAGATAGGTCTTTAGTTTTCAGTGAGACAATCAGTGAGACTTGTAGAAAACATAGTAAAAGATCCCTTCTTTCAGCTTCCTTTTGGTCCTGGTTTGTTGATAAAACCCTCAACTCTCTCATCTGGTGTCTTGGGGCATGTGCTTGTAGTGAAGCTGCGAGTATATACAACAGTAATGGTTTCTAGGGCCTGTAATATATCAAACAGATTTCTAGAAAATGTTCTCAAACGCCAATAATTCTTTCACTTCAAAAATGGAAAAAATCTGAAGAGATATTATAGAGCAATATTCTGATAGCTTGCTAGACCTCTTGAAATTATTTCCCCCCCCATAATCTTTTTTTAGATTTACATGGAACTTGAGTGTAATTTAAATAAGTGCAATTTCAAGAATATTTAGTCTTAAAAGTACTTATCAGTGAGGACTAAATTAAGGCCCATCATCCCCTGCACAATATCTCTGAGTAGGAGACAGACACCAGTTATTGTTTTAGAATGACTATATTTTGGAAAATTAACATGTTTTTCACTTTTTAAAAAAGAATGAAAATTTGATAGTACTTTATGAGATACCTACAAAAGAAGCTTTATGAATTGTGATCACTGTTTTGCTGCTCCTGTATTTACCAGGCATAATATTCATTATGGACAGGGCTATAAAACTTAACGCAGTCTCTGAGGTCTTACTTAAATATTGTTTGCCTTTAGATCTTTTGCATTCAAGTTATGTAAGAATGACATAAAAAAACAAAGGAAAGAAATAAGTTTTTGAAACATTAATGCCAACTTCCAAGGGCAAGGAGACCTAATACGGTAACTTTGTCATACTTGAAATATTATCTTAAATCTTGTTAATTCAGGGGTATTTTCCTCACCCGAGGTAAACAGAAAACCCATGTACTGTGACACATTGCCAGCTGTCATTACAGTTCTTTACTTGATGTTTTATGCTAATGGCATGACTGAGTAATGGAAAGTAAGCAGAGGATCTATCCTTCAGTATATATCTTTAATGAAGCGATTCAGATATCCTTTCAGATTAAACACCAGAAGCCTGATTCTGAACTCTCACTTGTCTGTATAGCTCTTCAATGCTATTGACATGAATGGAATGACTCATGATTTTGATTAACGTAAATGAAATCATAATCATGCCCCATCAGTAAAATTAAGGCCATGACAAGTGTAATATTATAAAACAGACTCTTCACCACACAGAGACATCATTGTCATTGGTGAGGAGAGATTCTGCCAGAGAGCCAACTGTAGAACAGCTCTGAGCATAAGCCCTCATCTGACATCAAGCAGTCTTCAACAGTTGGTATCACACATGCAGACACACAACAAACACACTGTACTTTTCAGTCAAGCCAGACTAGCAACTCAGAATGCTTGAAGAAGCTCTGAATCCAGAAGGGGAAGGGGGAAAAAAGAAAAGGAGAAAAAAAAAAAAGAAAAGAAAAAGCCCAAGAAACCCCAATCTATAACACAGTATTACTAAAACATTAAGAATAAAAAAAAGTGTTCATTTGTTCTTTAGCCACTTGGTTGAAGGGTAAGGGAAGCTTTGGACAATGGTAATAGGTTTGGGAACTATGTCTTAGGATGACTCTATGAAGTGCATGACTGTGATTAAAAGAAAATAAATTTTCTATTAGAAACACCATGAGACATTATTTACTGTAGCAGTACTCTTAGGTCAACAGCTGCTGATGCAGTCAAGTAATTTCTGTTTCTGTTCCTAATCAACATACCTGAGTTGCCAGGCCCATCATGGCATCTAAGTGTAATGGGAAGGATTTCTGGCTGGGAAGGGCCAGAAAAATGGCCACCAGGTAGTATGGGGAGATAGATGTCCAAACATATTGAATTAATTATTATACACTAAATGTCTGTTGTTAAGTAGAAATAATTCTTGACCACATCTCCAGCGACAGCCAGATTGGGTCCTTAATTTGTTAACTATCAATTTTGTTAACACACATCTGTTAATCTAATATTTGCAGGCCTTTCCTGCTAATATTAGTTTGTATCTTGAAGATACTTGGCAATAGGTCTTTCATTATCATAGCGGTGGTAGATCATATAGCAGAGATATTACTGTTTGGTAAATGCTGAGACAATAATTCGCTACTCATACTAAAGCCAGAACAGTATTGAACTCTGATGGACTGAGACTTCGCATTGATTCCAGGAGGTTGTGTAGAAGTGTAACTTTTTAAGTACTGGGTTTAGAAGTAGCACATGGAAAGGTAGAACTAGTGGAGATCTTATGTAGGATATGAGTTCTTTCTTATGTGAGAATATAGTTTAGGACTCACAGTTAAATATGTTTCTACCAAAAAAAGGAAGAAATAGGATTTGTTTTCTGTAGATTAGTTTAACATTTAATATTTTTTTCTATGAAAATACCAAGCAAACGGCAAATGAAAATACCCAGTGCTCCAAAGCAAAAGTGCAATTTCTGTAAACTGTTTGGAAAGTGCTGCTGCTACTTTGTGCTTTGTGTCAAAATTGTTTAGACTTCTTATCCAGAGCCACATTTTTTCACTGCCTGGCACTTTTTGTGATCACCTCTGGAAATAATGCAACCAAATCAGAATTCTCTCCTCACATGGGTAGCAGTGTTTTATATCCATTTTGTGCTCACTTTACACAGCTATAAATGACCACACAAGGTGCAAGGCAAAGAAAAAATCAAAGTACACTCTAAATGGATCTAGATGTCACTTCTGCCCTGTCATCCTTTCTACAAGGTGTGAATGAACCAAAGATTTTTTATCTGCTAAGAGGCTTTTAGAATTGAAGATTGACCGGGCTAACTGCCAATCTATGTATTAAGCAGCTGACTGTCAATACAAGGAAACAATATGGCAACTTGTAAAAGAAGATAGCAAGACAATACTACACAATTGTTAGCACTTTCAACATACTAAGTACTTTCATATAACAAATGTACTTACAGTCACTTTAAAATCACCTGCCTTAAAATTTTCTTCTCCTTTTGCTATTCTCATTACTCTTTCAATTCTTTTAAAAAAAAATGAAGCTATATGATTTTTTAAAATAGTATGTAGTTTCAATAGTGCCAGAAGATATGCCTTTTTTTTTTAAGATCTTGCTGAAGAGCCTGTCCATTTTATAGTTCAAGTATAAAACTTGCCAGCGTACAGATGAGAAGATACACAAAGTATTGGATTTACAGGGGAGATTAATTTTAGCACCAAACTGTATATAAGTTGTCAATGATCCATCACTACCTAATTGTTACTTAATTAATTCCTTCTTCTACATGATGTGATTTCAACGCATGGAGCTTAACAGAACATTCATGCGCCAGTTCCTCAGTAGCTAACCTTTTAAAACCTTTGCTAAATTAGCTGGAGTGGGAAATTAAGGAGTATGAAGAAGCTAAGAGAGAGCTCACAGCGGATAAAAGGTGTAATTACTCTGACATGGAGCTCAGTGCTTAGCTAGTAAAATTTACTAAGGATCTAGCTTCACCAAGGGACGTGACTTTCTTAATAGAGTTTACTTACACACAGAGCAACTTAGCATTCCTCACCATTAATGTAAATGACATGCTGGCTGGGTTGGAAAGGCAATTTGTTCCTTACCCTGAAAAATACAATAGCTGTTTGTATTAGCTGCAATTTAAATCAAGATTTTTCTGCAGAGCTTTATCATACACATATGTATGATAAAGGTAACTCAGATAAAATGTACTGGTTTGCTTTTCATCACTGACTTACGAGCAATGTGTTCTCATTCATACTATTACATTCAAAGTAAAAAGAAATATATATATGTTACATATTTGTAACATACTTGAGAATTTACTTTTTTTTAGACTGAAGACCAGCTGGAAATGTCCTGAGGCCATGGTCTAGTGGTCTGAGCTTGGGACTGGGAGCCAGAAACTCCTGAGCTCTAATCCCGGCTCTGACAGTGACTCCCTCTGTGGCCTTGGGTAAGTCACTGAACCTCTCTGCCTCAGTTTCCCCAGCAGTAAAAATAAGATTAACCATCCTTAGCTACCTACCTTAGTGAATTTGGAAGTCCTGAGTTAGTATTTTAGGAGGTTTAGAAATTCAGAGTAACTTAAAAATAAAAATACTGTTATTTATAAATGTCCTTATTGGTGATATTCATGTTGTTGTTGTAGGATATTCACATAACCCTGGCATTA